TGTTGGTACACGCGCCGTTAAGCGGTGGACTGTAATCTCCACATAGGCAACGGGTCCTTCCATCTCGGGAATCTGACAGACACGTAGTATTCTGTATACCAGCACAATCAGTGTCTAACTTACATTCGCGAGCCTTCCCAACTGAAATTATAAATTCCCGCATACAATTATCAAGAATATTCTACAATTATATATGTGCTGCTTATAAATAATATAATGATAAATAAATAATATATATATATGTATAATTTATTTATCTATATATGTTTACGTATTTATCATTGTCAAACGTACTTTCTTGGAAGAATTATGTTTTAAAAGCAAAATTACGTGCACATACTTTATTACAACTGATAATTTCTTTTCCTTTTTTTGCATAACGCACAGGCATCACAATTTTCTAATTACTCGTTTAAACGTTCAATATTTAAGATAGTAGGTACCATCGCATACCTGATTTTTGAAAACAATAGGCTCCTATTGTGTAACAGTTTTCATAGAATCAAAGAACAGCAAAACATAGTTGAATTTTTTGTTTACAATGAAATGTGTGATTGCATAATACACAAACGTAAAGATTTAAATAATTCTGAAACGTCCATTTTGGTTAGTGATTAAAGTGAAAATAGGTAATACAACGAACCTGGCGTAGGTGGCGGTGGTGGATTTTGATTTTGATTCTGAGGATTGGTTTTACCAAAGGTCGTCAAAGCGTAAGTGGCGGATGGCGACACGTAAAATACCAGTAAAAGGAACGGCGTAAATATCTGGAAGATTCTTCCCTTCTTCATTTCTTTCGATTTTTCTTGTTGCAGCTTTCCAAAAGAATTATCACTGAATATATTCACTAATCACTCAATTACGAAATTTTCAAACTCCGAGAAGAACAAAAAAACACACGCTTTTCTTCACTGAATCCTATTATTCCGTTAGAATGAAGTCAAGATACACAAGGTCTTTCTCAAACTTGTTGAATACACTAAAATATCTTTTCAGATGACCGTTATCCTTGTTGTTATTAGAAATAGAAACCAAATGTAACGAAGTATTGAACCGATTTACTTGCCGCACTTTTAAGTAACTTACTTATCAAACGGAATACTCTTAGGTGCTATTTGAGAACTGCGTGTTACAAGGACGTTGGAAGGCCTTTTAAGCCTTTGAGGCACCCCCTCCTCATACCCCATGTGCTGCCACCACCGACTACCCAAGCAAAAAGTACCCTATACCAAAACGTAGTTGGCCTACTACGTCGCCGAAGAATCGGAGTATGCTTTGGTTCCTTCAAGTTTCGATCGTTGCTTGTGGCCACAGAAAATATAGTAGTATTGTGATATACTGAAATAAAGTTCCCGCTTCAGAAAGAATATCGTACGAGCACTTTTGCTATTCATTACTTAATGCTGCATGAAACCTCGTCCGTATACCGTTTAATTACAAGATAATTTACGAATAATCAGTAAACTTTCTTTTTCACTGTTTCATTAAGCATTATTTCGTTGATCTTATTTCACAGGTACCGTCGGAAGGTAGACAGCTATAACACAAAGCAGTATGTATTTTTTATCACCTTGTTTGTTTCACGTAGAATGTGTTTCCTTTTCGGGTAATACATGTACTAGGAATCGAGTTCACCGCGAACACGAACCGAAGGTTTTATCTTGTAAAAATAACCGACTTTGAAATTACACACTGTGAAATGATTACTAGCTCGTATTTCTGTAGAAGATAATTCTGTAAGAATAAAGCTATTCTGAATCACTTGCAGCAACTATTTTCACCACTGCTCTATTTTAGCATGAAATTCATATATCTATGTATAAATGTTGTTTCTACATCTTTTACTTTCTATTAATATGCATTTTAACAAACCAGTTCAAAGAATACGAGAAATATTTACAGCAAACAAGTTTCTTAAACCACCGAAAGATTAGTAAATACTTTAGCTAGACATTAAATAAATATAAGGAACTTCCGACCCTACATTATAGAAGTAATTAATCATAATCGTCGTCTAAATTACCGTACGGACGTAGGGAGAGATACAGCATTCTGGTTAAGAAAGTGAGAATATTCCATAAACGCGAAACGCACCTATACAAATTGCTCTGATTTCAGTTGTAGTCTCGAAATAATTTCAAAGAATCTTTATCCTTACCGACTTAAGATATTAAAATTAGTAAATATATCGATTCTGGTTTCAGTTGGACGGTGCATACTTATATATATATATTTTTTTAACAGTATCGTGTCGCTCTTATCTACATAGGTATGTACCTACTTGTATCATTACGAAATCAACACTGTATTGATTATGTATTTGTTCATTGATTTCATATTTGCTCATTGCTTATTATTTGCTGTAACTTTATTATAATTTAAAAGACTCATTAAAGTATTCATCGTTCATAACTAAATTCAATTCAAACGATGTTGATGCAATTTTTATATTAACATGTTTGTTACCGATATTATTTGGGCATTCCGTTCATCATAAAAAAATTTAACAGGGATTACCGACATTTAGTTTTGCTACACTAAACTGTGCTATACAAATTTCTTTTTACATACATGTGTAACTATGACACTGGCGTTCGTGATAAACGTGATAAGATATAAAATGACTTTGTTTTCTGTAGTATTTGCATGGACAGTTCTATTTCTAAATTTAAAACACCCTTTGTGTTAAACGATACCGTCATTGGACTTTTAATATTGAGCGGTCTACTTAAAAATACTGGCGATTTTCGAAGACGTTTAAATCGTTTGAAATCAGATATAAGCAGAAACAATTGATATTACGACGCAGAAAGAAATGGTTTTGACAAATCACTTTCCGATCCCTTTTAACTGTCTCAGGATTGATAGTTATTTTAATGGTTATACATATGCCCATGCAACAATTACAGCTATAATACGAATCAGTTTTAATGCATCTAAGTATGAAACTGATTCAAAATGAATATGAAAACAATGTGTTATGGATAACATCATTCTGGTTTTTCATAAATGTTTCAGTAAAAATTTTATACGAAACTCGTTAAGAGATATTTTCAAAATATTTTCAATCTTTGCTACTGTATTACGAGAATTTGAAGTTTTACAAACATAGTGGCTACAATTTGAAAAATATTGTAGTGGTAGTAATCTAAACTATATCTTATAGGTTAATTTAATAGTTGATATATTACAAAAAACATCGTACACGAAAAGGGAAAGAAAAAGAAACCAAAGGGATTTAGTAGATTGCGGATGCTTTCGTGTATAATATATATATGTTATTAGATTTTATACTCTTGTTATAAAATTTCCACTTGCTTCAATATTTCGTCATTTTATCTGCAAATTGTGCAGTTGCGTTAAAAAATGAGAAAACTTTGGGACAGTTAAGAAATGCTGGTTAAAGTTCGAATACAATCTCTGATGCAATTTACAAAATATTTGGAAATATGTTTTCTCAACAGCAAGAAATACATTAATGGACAAAATATCTATACTAGTGGAGAAAGTAAAAACGTATAAAAACTGATTTTACAATGAGAATATATCAAGTACGCAATTATTATTAGGAATTATGCAAATTTGTTACTTTGTCTTGCTTAATTTACAAGTATGTAAAAATGTTCAAGAGATTAGAAACTTTTCAGTGTCGACGAAGTAGAAACTGTAAATAATAAACAGACGCGTATCCTTGCTCTACTTACAATTGGTAAAATGCACATTTCATAAGTAGAAGCTTAACACTAGATTTACGGACGTTTGTTCTACACTTTATTCTATTCTTCTTAAAAAACTACATGTTCGTCTATATAAATCGCGAAAATTCTAGCTTCAAAACTAGAGTATTGTAATACGTATTCGCATAATTGCACGAAGCAAGATAGACGAAAATTGTTAATAAATAAGGTTTGAAAAATTCAGTATCTGTCAGACTGACGAGTTCCGTAAATCTAGTGTTAACATTTTTTAATTTCTCAAAAGTTATTTTTTTCTATGCATCACCAGGAACATTTTTGAAGGACAATTGTAACAAAATATGTTTAAAATTATAGTATAGCAGGTCAAACCTCATCTGCTGAGCTACCGGTTACTACACACGAACAAAATCATAGACTTTATCACTGTCCCCAGGGTAGGGAGCACGAAAACTTGTGTTTCATTTTACACAAGTCACGAAAGCTTAACGGTCATACAACTCCCTTATCCATTAGAAAATCAAGCTTCATTTAAAACTGTGATTGCTATCTGAGGTTATTAATCTAATTACGAGCGATTCATTCAACACAGATTATACTTCTGCAAATCAGTTTTAAAAATTCGAATATATTTTAAATAACACAATAATAATAAAATATAACACGGACAAATGTCGGTTACTTTAATTATAATACAATTTATTCAAATTAGTGGGGAAGAGAAAAAGATTGAACATATTTTTTTATGATAAATCGTTTTTCTCCGTATCGTTTTACGTAAAAAATGATTTAACAAACAGTAATTGAAAAACACGCTGTTAGTAAATAAGATATCAGTGTGGTGATTTCAATATGACAAAGAATTTGCATTAAACAGAATATTCAAAGTAAAATATTGCGAAAAATATTGAATTTCCAGTGATAGTATCTCGAATCTTTCTCGGTCAAGTGATACGAGGAAACTATTTATGTAAAAAAATACATACAGCTTCGTTACAAAAAGAAGTGAAATTACTCTTCTTTATTAAATAACCTTGTTTTTCTCGGATTATTTAAATACAGTTGTACTACAATTTTTGTGGTATGTACGGTTTGTTGTTTATATTTTTTCATTCAGAACGTTATAATGAGACAAAAAATCTTCAGGATAAACTGTGGAATACCCATTATTATTCTAATCATATAACATTTATATTTACTTTAATATCGCGCCGAATAACCTCATACATGTACATTATATTATGTTATCTCAAATACACTGTGTGAAGCAACAATTTTAATCACTGAATACGATCAATCTCAGGAACTTGATTACGACAACTATATTAACGCTTCGATTCTTGTCATAAAAAGCAATCGAAACGGTGTCCGTGTATGTCGGTATAAAGGATATTGCAGAATAAGGAGTTCAAAAGTACCCTTAGACCGACTTTTCTCAAGAAAGATTCCTTCGGTAGCTTACCCATAGAAAACATTGTATACAAATTTTCAGCTCTTTATCTCAATCATAAGGATAGTTATATGGTAAATATAAATTGGCGCGAAAA